GTGTGTGTGTGTGTGAGAGAGCATATGAGTGAGGTTATTGTTCCCGACTGAGAGACAGCTGTGACACTGGTATCATTATTACAAAAGCAGAACTAATGTTTGTCTGGATGTAGCTGGAATTTCATTTGTTGTTTTACTTGCCTTTCTAACAATCTACCTCTCATACATTTTTAGCTTTTAATATACAGCTGTCATTATTAATCCTCTATCGCTTTCTGTGTCTGTGACCTTTCTTTCCTCTTCACCTTTCTTCTCGTGAATCCTAACTAATATAGTTTTTTGTGGCTGTGTATCTCACCGCCTGATGAGGCTGATGCCTGTCTAGTCTTTTCTGTTATTTCTCCAGGGAGGTGTTTTTTTTTTTTTTTTTTTTTCTGAGCTGCTCTAAAAATAAAAAAAACCTGTTTTACATTCACACAGTCATACAAAATTCACAGCTGGGAATTGAAGTTAAGAAGCAGTCTTTTGTTGTTGGCTTTACTACACAATCTGAAGATTAAAGGCCTCGCTCAAAGGCTTGCTTCTCCCATCCTATCTCATACAACTGCCCACTGTGTATTCTACTGTTGCCCTGTTTCACTCTTTACTGTCATCTTTTCCTGTATTTTCTCTCTATTCTTCACTCAGAACTGCTGAATGCCTCCTTTACTTGTGTTATAAGTATTTTCAATTTCCTCTTGGCCTAGTCTTTCTTTCTGTTGCACTCTTTTTTTCTGCTGTGTTTGTGTTTACCTCTAAATAAAACTTGTTTTCTCTCTCTCTTCCTCTTCTGTCCTTTATTGATTCGTAACATTTCCCATCTTTTGTTTCTTCACATCTCCCTATTCACATGGTTGTTTTTTTCTGCTGCCTTAGAAGCCACAACTTGTGATTTATTGGCCATAGAATTTAAGGTAAAAGCATAATTTCCATCAGGCCTCAGAGAAACTGAAGCAGCCTCTTTCCTTCTATTCCTTGCTTATATTTACTCTGCTTCCTACTTGTATTTCTTTTCTCATTTCAGTGCATACTTCCTTGTCAGCTCACTTCCTTTTTTTCCCTCTAGTCTGCTCTTTTCTCTTCTTCCTTCAGTTGCTTTCTGCACCACTACAGAAAACACATATTCATAAAATTCAGCCTCCGTCTGTCTGTATTTTCTCTATTTTCTTTAGTAGTTGTATAAGATTTGCAATAGACTTGAATCTTCTTTCTGCTTTTTAACTTTAATATTTTCTCTCTGGCTGCGCCCTTTGCTTATGACTTTCTCTCATTTTGCTTAATTCTTCTCTTTTCGTTTTCTCTCTTCTGCTCCTGTATACTTTGTAGGTCTAGCTTTACTTTCTTGTCATTAAATTAGCTTTTTTGCTCTTTTGCTCATTAGTGCTTAGTTTTCTCTCTGTCTTTAGTTTATTTATATAACTGAGCTCTACTTTTGCTCATTTCTTTTTCCTCTGTAGCTGCTCTTTTGCTCTTTATAGTTATATTCTTTCCTCTTACTGGACAGCCAGGCTGTGTTTCATGACAAAGCAAATTGTAACAAAGTCTCAAACTGCACTTGAGATGAATTACACAGCTGTAGATTTTAGATATATGTAGCTTTTAATTCACCTTTAATGATAAAACTTTGTAATTAGATTTAACGTAGCTTTAATAACTAATGTTATTATATGGGGTTTAAAAAAGTCACGTAAAATAACACAATATTGTATTTTGAGACTTCCATTAGTGGTTTATGCAGAAACGTCTTAGTTAGATTCTTTTTCACTTTCAATTTAGTTTTCTGTATAAAACTATTTCCTTGCAGTTTCCTCTTTTCTTTATTTGCCTATTTTCCCCTAAAACTTAACAGCATGAACTCAATCCTCTATTCTTTTAACTGATTGCATGTATTTGAACATATTCATTTCTTCTATATTTGCTTACTGCTTTATTTTCTTTCCTTTCCTCTTTAAACTTTTCTGAAAGTTTTTCTGCCTAAAAACTAACCTTTGTATTTTTCCAAGTACACCATTCAATTCATTTTGATGACTTATACCTCAAATGTGTCGGCTGAAACAGAACGTGTCAAACGTATCTGCATAAAAGGGAAAATCTGGAAGGAAATGCCTTTATTGTATCAAGCAACCAAGATAGTCTCTTGCTTCTATTTTTAGTGTTACAGGTGCCTCTCACTCCGTATTTATAACATTTCACAATAAAGTCCATGAAAAACTTGACTGAGGTTCTGAGACTGCTTCCTGCTCAAATTGTTGCTTTTGTTTTTTCCATTTATGCATAATATGGAGTCAGTTCTCCCTGCACCTACTCCATGATAGAGAAACATCAACACTGGATGCCCTTTATATTTTTATTTTATTAATTTTTTTCAAAATATGTACACAATATTTACAAAATGGCAGTTTATCATGTCAGATCTGTAGAGGGATGGGGATAGGGAGGACGCATTGCAGATAAACCTTCAGCTTCAGTTGTTAGTGAGCTGCAACATAAACTATTAAAGCATTGCAGACGCAATACAATACTTACTAGCGAGAGTGACTAGTTGCACATGGCAAACGGTCACAAACATACTAAACATAAAAGGAAAAAGAATGAGAAGAGAACAAATAGTGGTTAGACTTGTAGGAGGAGATGAGGGGAGGGGGAGAGGAGGAGAGGACAGCATGCGGGGGAGAGGAAGTAAGAGAAAGTGAGAACAGACAAATTCAAATGAAGAGTTAAAAAGAAAACGGCAGGAAATGAACACAGCTGAAGTGAAGGACGTGGGAGTTGTTCCAGTGTCAAATATCGAGGAAGGAGTTACGACTGATGGAGGTATACAGTAAACATGGGAGCAAAAAAATACTGAAAACATGACTCAGGCATCGGAGAGGAAAAAAAACAAAAAAGCATCCAAAATGAAAATGTGTACTGTTAGTTGTCTGGGGTGAATTTTCTACTAAAAAAAAATTAATAAACAAACAACAAAGCAAACATCCTGGTGTTTCAATGCTGAAAACCTGAGACATCAGATGTACACACTTTGACCATGTGTAAAAATCTTACATTTACACAAACCAAAGGCAATAAACAACCATCAGTCAAGCTCGTCACATGTGAAGAAACCAAAAAAAAGTTAATTTCTTAGCATGGGAGCACACACCAGCACTTGTCAAATGAGAAACTCTCTAAAAGAAGATTGCATACTGAGAAAAATAAAATATTACTAGATGTAGGTTGTATTTCGAGGATAAGGAACGTGTTCTGTATGTCCAGACACATTTTAGATAAGGGGATTAAACTCAAAACTAAACTCTACTGCAACTCTGTAACTGACTTGAGCAGGTCTGTCAATCTAGCAAACACAAGTCAAATGAATCACATCTTTAAATAAACAGAGTGAAAGAAAAGAAAACTTAAATATCACAATTTCTTTACCAGCAAACAACTGTAGGCGTGTTGATCAAAAACTGTAAATGCATCTGGACAAACAGAAGACCACAGTACATGTTGACTTTGTCATCACTGTTTTTAAAACTAAACATCACGTTGCACAGAAAGACACTTTAAATATTTGGGTTAGCAGCAAACCACATTAGCAGCACATCAACATTTTCCACATTTCATAATGTGAGGCTCCCATGTATTTTATCAGCTGTATGGCTTCAACTTCAGTGGGTCAAACCAAGACTTTGGATTGCTCACAATTCACTCTCTCCGGCTGGCGTCTGGAGGTGGTTCGCCCACTTTATCATCACTCCGTGTGCTCCTGCAATGCAGCAGTACTACGAGCTGAAGAATGAGAAGTCTGGTGGTGTGTGAGAGAAAGGTTTGAGGGAGTGAGGGAAGGGAATAGCAAAGAGGACAGGGGATCAGATAAATGAAGGGGGGGGAGGGGAAGAAAGAAAACATGTTGAGATCATTGTCATTACAAAACATTTGCTGAAATAATGAACAATGAACAGTTTCGGGAAACATATCCAGTTTTACAGGAGCATTTTGTCAACCTGATAGATATTTGTCCTTTTGTGGAAGTCGTTAACAATATGTGCGTTTGGCAACGGTGGTCCCATTCGTCGCTGAGTGTACACTAGCTTAGTATGGAACAATCTGCCAACACAAAAGTGCCACAAAACAGGCAAGCGACACAAATGTGGGAACGTGTTGTTGTTTTCTTCCTGGAGGGACGATTTTAACAACCAAATGTTTCATATCACTGGAATCTGAGCATGACATCTCGCCAAAATCTGGTTCAAGAGCCTGTGCTAATGTTTTCAGGCTGTGCTGGGACAAACTAGCACTAAAAACTGGCAATTATCAACTCCACCACTGCATCCACTGTAATGATAATGATGATGAAGACATAACACACAACCCCATCCAGACCTGTCTGCATTGAAGTTTACATATTCACATAAATGGTCTAAGAAGAGTTTCGCAAAACAAAAACAAAAAAAATCACACTTACCCGTGTGTGAACAAAAAAACCTACACTACGCACCAATCGAAAAGAAATCACAGATATATATATTACAATATTTACAAAAATATACTGTTGACAGGTAAACACGTCGATTGTACAGCAGGCCTGCATCCACTCATGTTGAGTTCACCACAGTCTTAAATACCTCAGCCTCAGTTTGTCTACAGTGGTAATTAATACTGTTCAAATGAAATAAAGTTATGAGGAACAACGCTGACCTAATTTAACAATCATTTTATAGGTGGATGTTAGAGGGTATGGTGGAACGTTTTAAATATTCTTTAAGGGTACATTTCCTGACATTTTCACGCTGTCTAACTATTTTAAGTCTCCTAATACATATTTCCCCCCCAATTATCACCTAAGACATTGCAATTATTATTATTCTAGGCCCTTAAAGTACAAACCTCCTGAAGATAAATGGAGCAAATCACATCAGAAAAATCCACTACAACTCCACTGCCACAAAGAGAAACATTTGATTTCCATTCAGAGTGAATAGTTTCTGTAGACTAGAATGAAGCTACAAATGCAGTTTTCATTTTAGAACATTTTATCATAGCTACTGGACATAAAAGCACTTTACTCAACTTGGATCTCCCTCTTTATTAATCAGTTTAAAACTTGTGTTGTGATTTAAATACGTTACCAAATCAATATTATTATATCAACAACTGTGTGTGTCTGCGCAGCAACAGTTCTGGGATGTTACTGCTTTTATGTCATTCTAGTATATTATCAAATTTGTTGATACTTAATTCATCTCTTCAATATCAACTTGTATGTTTTAATAAAAATCTGCTTTGCAGCTCCATAATTATGTTTTCTTTTGTTGAGATAAAGGCCAATGCTGCTGTCCAAAAAACACGAAACATGAAACATTTAACATTTAACACAGCAAATGTGAGGCAACATCTCTGTTGTGACGTCATCCACCTCCTTCCAGAGAAGTCCCTTTCGCTTACCAGCCTCGCAAACACCAGAGCCAGATGTAGCATACAAACCACTCGTTGTTATTCCCTCTGGAAGAAGCAGCAGGTTTCCCACAGATGCTCCGCAGCGCAGAATTCACCCTCAGCTGTATTTGAAGATGGCAGCTTAGCTGCCCCTGTTTCTTTTGAACAGCTGGTGAGGTTGAGACATTGATGAAAGATGGGCTTCATCACAGCGTTGATCGGGCTGTGCTGGATTCCAGCTGCTAGCAGAACTTCTACCTGAGGATGATGGAGGCAGATTCCCTCTCTGCATCCGGCTGCTTTGATTCTGGAGATGGAGCTCAGCTTCGAGTGTATGGAGGAGTGAGGAGATGATGAAGAACACTTGCCTGTATTCGTCATCATACACAAAGTCAATGCTCATTAGATTGAGACTTTCCCCAAATGCTGGCCAACGACTTCATAACTGACCAGCAAATGACTACAACTTCATTAACTTCAGGAACAAGACTTTGACACTTCAGTCCATTGCTTTCAGGGGCCATATGATTGGGGATATGGAGCAAGATGAACAGCCAACTGTAGATACCTTGAGGAAACTGGGTGCAGGGCAGGACATACAAACCACCACCTCTTCTTCTTTCAGACAAACTGCTGGTATCTTCTCTCCTCGCTGTCTCACAGTCTCTAAGAGAAGAATGTAAAGATGACTTGACTCTGCAGGCTTGACTTCAAACAGGAGACAGCTGGATGACTTGAAGAACTTCTTTGTAGTTTCCTTTTGGTTGACAAGGCTTGAAACTTCAGGTCTTGGAGCTGTTGACTTGAGGGAGGAAAAAACATGACAGAACACTGTTAGCTTTGACATCTGATGGTGGTAAAGGAACAGGAACCATGTGGGTGAGTGCCTCTCTGATCTGGTTCTGTGACTTCTTGGCCTCTAAGTGCCGATTACATGGTAATCCATAATCTAAACTGTTCACTCACTTTTCTGGCATTATGAATGTAGCGAGAAATCTTGGGCATTAGGCTAACCTACAATATAAGAGTGACTGTGTGCAAACTCCCTCTGTTCTCATTGGAGTGTTAGAAAAGGACATCTGCCTTATAAAATCTGAATCTTGCAGCAGAGTACTCTAACACACATCTTTCTATACGGGTCTTCAGTAGTTGTTAGCCTCCCAACTACTCTATCTGACTGGCTGAGGTGTCTGAAGTGCAGTGCATTGTATATGTAAGGATCCACGATGGTCCCCTAGCAACTCCCACCCCCACTCCCTCAGGAGGCAGCCAGTGAGGCTGTGCTGGTTTTGCAGTCTATCTTTTCGGGGTCAGAGGGTGTAAAGGTGACACCTAGCCCAGTAAGAAAGGCCATACAGGAGTCTAAACAAGTGAAGCCCAGAGCAGACTGCACATACTGCACCGGCAAGTCGGGCCTGAACCTGTGGACACAGGAAACAGAGAAACGGAGATCAGCAGTTATAAAAAAAGGACCTAACATTGCAAATAGACCTTTCTGGAAGTCGACTTACGTTTTGACCATGGCCCGAAGTGCAACCTTTCTTTCCCTCTCTACAAACTTGTCAATGAGGTATGAAGCCATGCGCGGGGCTTTCAGGTACAGCTTAAAGAAACGGCGATAGTTTCCTAACGCCCAGGCAGCACGAAGTTCAAGAGCATGACACACACACACATCTGCCCGCAGCGCCGGGGTCAAGTACACCAACTCAGTGGTCAGATCTGAAGGGGAAGATAAATGGCCATTGTTAAAAAGAGGAAGGAAATGCGGAAGTGTGAAATGTGATGTGTGGTAGTGTCTCAGAGAAGAACAATGTGAACATACCTCCAGAGTTTTTAGTAAAGATGTAATACAGCAATCTATACGCTGTAAACTCTCCAATGTTGTCTGAGGGATGGTCCTTATACAGAGCCTTCAGCTGGGTCTGGCACTGGTTGAACTCTTCATGGTCTCCCTGAACACAAACATTCAGCTGGTATTAAAAAATGCACTGTCATCAGTTTTAACTTGTGCAAAACTTAGGTTGCAAAACAGACTCACCTTTTCCAGAGCAATGCGTGCATGACACTCGTACACTTCCACTGTGAATTCAGTACGAACTCCCTGGACCTGGATAATTACAGGGGAGAATAAACATTTTATAAACACAGAATAAAAAACAGACAGAAGTTAACACAACAACAGAGAGACCAATGAAATGAAAACGAACCGTGAGGTCCTGTCGAATGGATTTCATCTGTTCGCAGGCATAGACATAGTCCTGGTGGGTTTTCCAGTGGGCCTTCACAGCTTGTATAGATTTTCTCAGGACCTGGGTAAAAATTCAGAAACAGATAAAAGTCTGAATCTTGATCTTTCTGTGAAGCAGAATATAAATATACTCTATATAAAGTATGCTGAAAACTAATAAACACATTTATTCAGTATTTCTCAGACAATGATTTGTGACAGATCTCCAAAAAGCCAAACATTGTCTCTGGACTTCAAAACTAAAGTAAGAATACATTAAAAAGGCTGATTACATGCACGGGGCGCACAGTGGAGGGGTCCGGGGCACAGGTGAGTCTCAGGTAAGACTTGGTGATGTCCTGGCATGTTCCCACAATAGGGCAGTCCTCCCAACTGAGGCCCTCCTGCGTCCCATCGGGTAAGTCCAGGGCATTGATGGAGAGAACGAGGGGCTCGGAGCGAAGCTGCTTGTGAAAACGAGCTGCTCTGCTCTGCTTCTTTGCCTCTCTGTTTGGGTCGTGGAAATCCAGCCCAGCATTGCCGCCTTTCCTCTTTTTTCCCACCGTTGAATTGGAATCTTCCATGTTTCTGGAAGAATAAGTTAAAGGTTATTCACAAGCTGTCCGTGGCTTAGTGTAGTAAAACAAACGGTGATCAATGAGAAAAGTAAGGGCCTGATTAGACGCTTCAATGTAATTTGTGTAGTAACATATTTATTCATTTACCGCCTTCCTCTGTTGGCTTTTCCTCCTCTTCCTCGTCCTCTCTCTCCACCTCCACGTCCTCTGTCCCTGTCATTACCACGACCACGTGCTCCTCTCTGACTTCGGCGTGACAGCTGAGGTCGGAGGTCACTGGAGATGCTGCTGTCTGACTGCGAGCCAGAATCACTGGGAACAAAGAGACATGAGACATTAAAGAAAGAAGAAGAAGAAGAACATTCACAATAACCGAAGAAAGGGAACGTGTCTTACCTGCGTCTATGTCTTTGGTTGCTGCGGTCTCTGTGTCGGCCATGGGAGGGGGACGGGGAGCGGGAGGATGAATGAGAGGAACTGGAGGACGGACTCCTTTGAGAGAATATGTTTCTGTAGTGACCCAGTCTGTGTCCACCACCCCTGCCTCTCGACGCTGCAGCCGCTGTGCTTCCACCGCGGCTAACTGAGCCATCTGACGCCCTCTGGGGAACAGCTTCCCAACGAGACTGCTTGACCTTTAGCCTACAAAAACAAACACTTAAATCTTTATGTGCACACAAACTGCAGGGAACACTGTCAGCTTAAAAGCTTAAAGAGAAATTAATATATACACCAGGCAAACACCAATCTACTGGACTCACTCTGGCAATGGCTCACGAGTCCAATCAATGGTGTAAGCAGAGCCATCCTTTAACCGGTCTTGCAGAACTTCCTTCAGCACCTTCTCTGTGCGATCTTTGTCCTCCTCCGTCTCACAGGCTGTAAAACAGCGCTGCACATATTCCTTCATAGCTTGGGGCCAGTCCTGGGGTCTGGAGCAAAAACATGTAAGTCAACATATTATTGAAAGACTAACAAAAACAGACAGAATCAGTGGAGACAGACGAGTTCTCACCGTGTCTGAGCACCGCCCGGTGCAGCACTGGCACTAGCCGGGGAGGAAGGAGTTGGATTCAATCCTGAGGGCTGCTCGCCTGGAGGGAACGTCTGATTGGAAATTGGGGAACACTGAACCTGATAGGGCCTCTTGGGAAGATTGAACTTCACAGAACCTGCACCAGGCGCCTCTGTGAGGGAGGAAATGTACAAAAGGAACAGAATTAAGAAATAAAACATGACAGGGAAACATCTGCACAACTAAAACGTACATCTGTTTTAAATCTCACAAAATCCAGATACAGAAGCACAAAACTTGACTTCTGTTCTCTCACTGCAGAGCGAACAATACAGATCTGGATTCATAAAGCACAACATTTCTCCCGGCATCATCTTTTAAACCTCACAGTCCCTCTCAGACTAAGCTCCTAATGGGATGGGATGTTCTTGATTGGCCCATAATGGCACACAGAGCTCTCTGATTGGTGTGATTTAGAGACACGGCTTGAGCATCATCACAACTGTTGCTAAGTGAAACACCTGCCCGCACTTCTAGAGAGGCTCTCTGCCCCGGTTACAAAAACAATCCTCGTCACGCACACTGTCTGTATGTAGAGGGCATGAATACACTTCTGATCATGAGTAACGTGTTTTCTTTGTTAGCTATTTACAGTTGAAACAGACATTTAATTACTGCTCTCAAATATAAATATAGAAACAGTAATAGAGTCGAAAGATTTTGTTTGTTTTTAGATGCCAACTAGCTCACGAACGAGTAACTCTTACGTTTCATGCGGTGCCACAGTTGCTGTCCTTGTTTTTGGTTTTTGTTTTTGTTCTCTCCTCTGCCAAGCCCGGGTACATACTGGCCTTGCTGCTGCTGGGAGGTATTCTGAGAGGGCTGATAGGCGTTCTGGGCCTGGAAGCCCTGTCCATAGTTAGGTCTGCCCTGGGAATGATTGTAAACTTGCATTTGGTTTGGGTCACCAGGCGGGTAGGACATGGAGTTATTGGCACTGTAAGCATTTTGTGATGGAGGAGGGGGGTACTGGGAGTTGGGTGGGGGAGGGATTGGTGGGGGTGGAGGAGGAGGGGGTTTCTCTGAGG